TTATTTGTATGTGTGTGTTTTTTAATTTTAAATTAATGCAAAATTGGGAATGCTATTTATTTGAAATGATTAACGTTAATGTTTTATTTTGCTAGATTAAATTTATTTTTATTTCATAATAGTGAATTTTAGTTTAATTATGCTTAACCAAAATATGACTAAATATTGTTTTATGAACATTTAATTAACTTAATGAAAGTGAGGTGAAAATTAAAATTATTTTTATTGGAGTATAATATTTCCATAAAATATTTATGAGGATTTTGTTTATACAATAATCACGTATTATTACAAAAATAATCAAAATTTGGAAAATTAATTTAACTTAATTTAGCATGAATTTTAACTACATTTAGATTTTTACACTTAAAATAATCGAGCAAAGTTTAAAATAAAATAATAAACTAAAAATAATTTACCAAATTTTAAGTTTCAAATAATCTGAATTAATTATAAATTATGTTAACATCACATTTACAGTCTATCGTAAAATATGTAAATATCAATATAAAAAATTTATTATAACTCTTAACTAACATTTTATTACCCTGGTTACCATCACCATAATTCACAACACACTATACAACCAGAACCTCACCCTTAACTCAATAGCCGTGTATTTTATCGCAAATATGTTTCTCATAAGAGTTTTCACATCTATTTCTTAAACACATAAAAAACTTTGTCTTTGTATTTCAATAAGTGTTTTATATATTTTTTCATTTCTTATAGTTATCTCACAATCAAAATACATATAAATTAAATAAACAACAAATCTCTTTATATAATACAATATTTTGTTCATACATTATATTATATACCCTATTATCACATGATTAGTACAGATACGTGCTATCAGTATATTATGATATGAAAATACGGTATAAATATATAAATAATATATCGTAGTGAATAGTCTAGTTTATATTTATATATTAATATAAATATACGTTTTGTGTATAATATTTTCATTTATATTTATATATATTTCTCATGAATTCATCGCAATTGTGAAAGTGTTGTGAGAAATACTCGTTTCGTTATTATATAAACATTACATGAATATTCAATGGGATACCAGTGCTGTGAAGGAATGGTAGGGAGGGAAGGGCTGGTAGCATAGTATCTCTCATTCATGACTGGTATGTATGACTAGTAATTTCCGGCGCCTTTTTTATAGCTAATTACATGTGTTTAGAAATTCTTGTGATTCACTACACTATAGCTGAAAAGTTTTGGAAAACTTTTCATTCAATGCTAAATACTTTTTCATTGAATTCATGTAATGTTTTGCGAAAAGGTTTTTCACCAGTATTTCTATGCAATACTAAATAATATATTTTTGTAGTGTATAGGATAAATTATTAATAAAAGATTTGTCGCTGGTATTTTAATTAATTGGTGTTTTATGGTGAATTAGTATAAAGGTTTTAAAAGGTATTTCACCCGTATAAATATATTATATTGAATACTTGTATGTTTTTTGTAAACTAGTATAGATACAGTATAATACGATTAAATAGGTTAATCACCAGTGAATAATAATTATTATATATTTCTGAATATTAGTTCATATTGTAAATGGTTTATCACCAATATTTTAATTAATTGCGTGTATTTGTGGTGATCCATAGGAGTATAAGAAGTTCAATGGTGGTGAGCCGGGTCACCGAGACATCGAGACACTGACCGAGGAGGAGCTATTCGCGGCACTCGACTCCAGTGGTTACGTACGGCTCAGCTTCCGGACTAAACCGCTGACCGACTCGAGTAATAAGCGGTCGATCGCCGTCAGCACCGATAGCGACGTACCGTTTGTCAAGAATTGTGTCAATAGTTATAGTAATAGTAATAATTTGAATAATAATAACAAAAAGAAAAATATTTATAATAATTATTGCGAGACATTAAAGTTGGACAGAAGGGGTGAAAAGGAGAACCCATTTGCAGGTATGTCATGATTTTTATGGGTTTTAATCTAGCATGCTTATTTATGTAGAGCTAGCTGTGTATAAGACATTAAAGGTTAAGTTATGTGGATTAGTTTTATCTATTGTATAGGTATTGATTTTAATAATGAACAGGTGCATTTATCAATAATGTTATGTGCTGGAGGTTAATGAAGATTAAATAGCTTTTATGCAGACTGTAATTGTATTAAAATGTTTTGTTTACATTATAATAAAATTAATTAAACTTTTCTAAATGGTCGGGTTAAGGTTTCCGTTGATATTTTTTAATTGATATAGCAAAAATTTAAAAATAAATTTATTTATGTAGTAGATTAAATATTGTTTATGTATACTGTAAAACATTTTAGATACAAAACTTTAGAGATTATAAATATCTAGGTATTGTTTATAAAGGGTTTGACATGATGTAGTTTAATTATTTTAAGTTATTATAAATATTATGTATTTCATTATTATAATTTAAAACTGTAAAATAATTTTTAGATAATATAATAATAATCCATAAAACATTTATAAATCTACTTTTGAAAGTAACCTATAAATGTACTAATAATAAGTACCAATAGTATAAACTAAAATAGTTTTATTATTTTACATCGTTTTCACAATTAATTATTTTTACTAAAAAGTTAGATTTATGAATAAATTATAAATAAATTTGTTTTTTAATATAATTTCATTTTCCCATAAAATATAATGAAATGTGAAATTCTATATGAAATGCACATAAAACTCATAATAATCTCAAAAAAGCTTATTATAAACAATAGATAATGAAATGAAAAGTTCGTTGACTTTGACTACTGTTTGAGTCTATAAAGTCTAATCGTTAAAGTGTCTGGGAAAATATATTAGCCTTGTAATTTAATTAACTTATATGGGACATAATTATATTTTGCAAATTACTTATAATGATTTTTTCATTCATTTTAAAATTTTGTTTTACAATTTATATTCAATTAGACAATTTACGCACTTTACAAATATGACCTTGGTTTCGCGTGAATAACAAACTCTAGGAAATTCCCTTGCATATTTTAAAACTAATAAATAACTAGCAAATAAAAAATCTGCATACCTCAATAATTTATTAAATAATATATTTTACCAACCTATTAATAAAATAAATAATACATACATACAATACCTACTTTTATAACCGGTTGACAATATCGAGAGTTGACTGTAGCTCATAGATTAATTTCAATAAAAATCACATAAAAATTAGATATAAAAACAATCTGTTATACGAAAAATACTTGAAATACTTTCCTATAATTAATATCTCTATAAAAATATTTATACAAAAATTAATCTAAAAACATGTCGTATCACACGATGATCCAGGTCTGTGTCGGGGCTCAGTGAACGGTGGCCACACCTCAACAGTAAAGCGCCGGGAGGGCACACTAGACGGCAAAAAGTCGCTGAGACGACAGCGTAACTTCAATTGTGATAATAATATATATTCAACGCTAAAACGCACCAAAAATAAGCAAAAGTCCAAAAGTATGGACA